ATCCATCTTGTTGAGGGTCTTCCTATTTTGCTGACCCTCCACTTCACCAATCCTGATGTCCTTCTCCAGGGACTGGTCCTTCCTGCAAGCATGTCCAAAGTATGTTAGACAAAGCCGTGCCATCATCTCTCCTAAGGAGAATTCTGGCCGTACTCCTTCCAACACAGATTTGTTCATTCTTTTGGCAGTCCATGGGGCATTCTATATTCTTCAGAAACACCACAATTCAAAGGCACCACTTCTCCTCTGGTCTTCCTTATTGATTGTTCAGCTTTTCATGCATAGGAGGTAATTGAAAATGCCATGGCTTGGGTTAGGTGGACCATAGTCCTCAAAGTGACATCTTTGCTTTTTAACACTTTAAACATTTGCAGTAGATTTGCCCAATGCAATATGTGGTTTGATTTCTTGACTTCTGCTTCCATAGGTATTTATTGTGGATACAAGTAAAACAAAATTCTCAACAATGTCAATATTTTTTTCCGTTTATGATGATGCTGCTTATTGGTCCAGTAGTGAGGATATTTGTTTTACCTTGACATGTAATCCATACTGAAGGCTATAGCCAATTTTCATAAGCAAGAACTTCAAGTCCTTTATACTTTCAGCAAGCAAGGTTGTGCCATCTCCATATCACAGGTTGTTAATGACTCTTCCTCCGATCCTGATCCTGTGTTCTTCTTCATATAGTCTGACTTCTCAGATTACTTGCTCAGCACGCAGATTGAATAAGTATGGTGAAAGGATACTAACCCTGTTGTACACCGTTCCTGAGTTTAAACCAGGCAGTATCCCCTTGTCTGTTTGAATGACTGCCTCTTGATCTACGGACAGGTTCCTTATGAGCACAATTAAGTGTTCTGGAATTCCCATTCTTTGCAACATTATCCATAATTTGTTATCTTCCACACAGTCAAATGCCTTTGCATAGTCAATAAAACACAAGTAAACATCTTTCTGGTATTCTTTGCTTTCAGCCACAATCCATCCGGCATCAGCAATGATATTCCTCATTCCATGTCCTCTTCTAAATCCGACTTGAATTTCTAGCACTTCCCTGTCAATGTACTGCTGCAACTTTTCTGAATTTCTTCAGCAAAATTTTGCTTGCGTGTGATATTAATGGTATCGTTCTGTAATTTTCTCATTCTGTTGGATCACCTTTCTTTGGAATGGGCACAAAAATGGATCTCTTCCAGCCAGCTGGCCAGGTAGCTGCTATCCAAATTTCTTGGCATTGATGAGTAGGCGCTTCCAGCGTTGCATGTGTTTGTTGAAGCATCTCAATGGGTATTCATTCAGTTCCCGGAGCCTTGTTTTTCACCACTTCCTTCAGTGCAGCTTGGACTTCTTCCTTCAGTACCATCAGTTCTTGATCAGATGCCACCTTCTGAAATGGCTGAATGTTGGCCATTTCTTTTTGCTACAGTGACTCTGTCTATTCTTCCGTTTTCTTTTGATGCTTCCTGCATCATTCAGCATTTTACCCAAAGAACCCATCATTATTGCAACTCAAGGCTTGAATTTTTCCTTCAGTTCTTTCAGTCTGAGAAATGCTGATCATGTTCTTCCCTTTTGGTTTTCTAATTCTAGGTCTTTGCACATCTCATGCTAATACTTTACTTTGTCTTCTCGAGGTGCCCTTTGAAATCTTCCAGTCAGCCTTTTTACTTCATCGTTTCTTCCATTCATTTTAGCTACTCTACGTTAAAGATCAAGTTTACTGGCTGGTGAGTAAATTTGAATAATAGTAGTATTGACTGGTCTTCCTTGTAGGTGTATGGCTATTATCCTATCACTGATAGCACTGTACTTCAGGATGGATTTTGAAACACTTTTTGATGGTGAATGCGGTGCCATTCCTCTTCGTCATTCCCAGCATAGCTGGCCATATGATTGCCTGACTCAAAAAGACCAATACCAGTCCATTTCAGCTCAGTAATGGCCAGTAGGTCGATCTTCATGCATTCCATTTCACTTTTGACAACTTCCAATTCTCCTAGAGTCATACTTTGTACATTACACACTGCTATCATTGATGGGTGTTTGCAGCTGTTTCTTCTCGTTTTGAATCGTGCCACACCAGCAAATGAAGGTCCCACAAGCTTTACTCCATCTACCTCATTTAACTCGACCCTACTTTGTGGAGGCAGCTCTTCCCCAGTCACACTCCGAGTGCCCTCCACCCTGAGGGGCTCACCTTCCAGCGTTATATCAGACAATGTTCCACTGCTATGCATAAGCTGTTCACTGGCCAATTTTTTAACAAGGAAATCACCAGATCCCCCTTCCCAATCTGGCTTAGTCTGGAAGCTCCGCTGAAACCTGTCCACCACAGGTGAGGCCCCTGGTGTTTAAAACACCAGTAACATAGCTTCCTGCATCACAGCAACATACAAGTCACCACAGCACAACTAGGTAACACCCAAGTGGTGCTCGTAGAATTACAGTCCATTTGAATTTATATCTACCCCTGCCCTACCTGTCTTGTATTTAATTTTCTCTCCACTCTGACCTGCTTTAGAATCGATTGATTTGGTTTTCACATTCTATTTCCCTCCTCTATTAATTGGGATAAATATTATCCATCACATTTATAGTTTTCAGTGATTATTCTGGTAAGGACAACTTACAGTCTCAATTAATCAAAGTCGAAGCGTCTTTGAGGAAGATTCACCTTCTGCCAGAAGGAAGCCAGGATCTTAGAGCACTTTAACACCCCCCAAGATGTCAGTCTTTGTTGTTATCTATTTTACATCTATTTTTATCCGAGAGACATTGTTGCCATTGTTTCACATTGTCAATGTTCTTCATTGTTCTTTATTCCCGTTGCATCAGACCTCTGTCTGCGATCATCTTCCTGCCGCAAGTTCTCCTTTGGAATTTCCTTTAGGGAGGGCCTGCTTAGCTACTGGCAAACTTAGTTTTTGTGTTTGCTAATGTCATCATTTCACCTTCGTCCTGCAAAGATATTGTCACTGGAATATAATTTTGAAAGATATTTTCACTGGAGTTTAATTTTGAAAGCTATTTTCACTGAGTTTCCAAGTCTAGGGTGGTGGTTATTTTCCCCCAGGATATTGAATATACTGTTTCACTGCCTTCTGTTGTTCATGATAAAATGTCAGGAGTAAATCTATTTATTTCCCTTTTCTCTGCGCAAGTGGGATGTGTTTGGAATTTATTTCTGAGGGCACTGGGAGGAAGCTATTGCCACCACCGCCTGTCAGTGCGGTGTTGTGCTGTCGTGACTTGAGTGTGGCTAGGAAGCTGGAGGCCATGCCACGGCTATTTCAAATACCAGGAGAATCACTCATGACGCGGGCAGGCTCCAGTGGAGCTTCTAGATTAAGACAGAGTAGGAAGAAAGGCCTGGCACTCACCTTCCTAAAATTAGGTGATGAAAATTCCATGGATCCCAACAGAACATTTGTCCAATAAAGTGCTGAAAGAACAGCCCCTAGCTTGGAAGGCACAAAAAATACACAGTGACTAAAACAGCGGTGGAGATGACACAGCATTGAGCAACGGTTTGTTCTGTTGCCATGAGTCAGCGCCACCTGATGGCAGCTAACCACAACAGGGCGCTATGGAAGGCTTTGAGGCATTGGGGTGACCCTGTCCGATCGCACGATCGCAATGAACCCGAGGGGATGGCAGCTCTGTGAGAAGGCTGTCCCTAAGTCTAGAGAGCGGTAAGGCATGATCCATATTGGTGGGTGTAGAGGCGAGGTGGAGGGTAGACCGGAGGCACCGTGAGGTCAGAGACACAGAACGGGGATCATTGTAGGGGCGGGGGGGGGGGGTGTGTGCGGGGGAGGGCAGCAAGGAAGACGTCATGTTCCTGGCCTACACAGATGAGGGCGCTGCTCACTAAAGGAGCCAAAACAGAAGGGGCTTGGGCAGGTGGGTGGTAAGGAGTTTGTTTTAGCCCTCAAGGTCTGTTATGATGGACACCTACTGTATGCCAAGAACCAAGTGCGCGCGGCGGGGGGGACTTGGGGCAGCGTGGCAGCTAAATTCGTCCCCGTGTGCACCTTCCATCCATCACGACACGCTTGCCTGCCGCCAGTCATTGCCTAGTCTAAGGTGACTCAAGGCAGCGCCCGCGTCTAACCCGTGCGTCTCAGCGCAGGGCCGGGCACAAGGTAGGCGCTCCTCAACGGTGTGCATGGATGGAGGGATGGAAGGAAGGATGGAAGGAAGGGTGCACCTGCTCACACCGCTCCGGAGCCCGGATTCAGAGAGACCTCGGTGCTGTGACGCCCGGACAGGTTGGCAAACCTTTGCTGCCCCCGCCCTCCTGCAGCTCGAGGGTCTGCGCCCCGGCCCATGTCTGCTCCTTTGTGGGAAGTGGGGCAAATCACGTCGCCGCTCTGCGTCCCCGTTTCCACATCTGCCCTATGAGGCAATGCTGTTCCCTGCCCTCAGAGTCGCCAAGAGGATTTTAGAAAAGGCGTCTTGGCGTTAATGATCACGTCCCGCCCTTGCGCGGCACGGCGCCAGGGGGCGCACGGGCGCTTGGAGCGCCTCGGCCGGCCCCCGCGCCAAATAAGTCCCGCTGACTGGCGGCTCGGAAAAACCGCCAGCCGCCGTATCTCACTCCCGGGAGGGGCTGGGGCGTGACTCCGTGGGGGCAGGGCAGGGGCGGGGCCAGGGAGGCGACGTGGGAGGAGCGTGACCTGCAGGGCACGAGCCGAACTCCTGCTGCCTCTCGGCGCGCGCTCCCTGCCCCGCCCCCTCCCCGCGCCCGCGCGCGCGCACCCGCCCGCTCTCTCGCTCGCGCCGGGGAAAACGTTGCGCAGGTTCAAAAATGGAACGTCGGCGGCGTGAGGGCGCG